CACAAATCGCCCGAGAACACCACCAAACCGTTCCGATAATGCCGCGACACACACGAAACTCTGCCCCATCGCCAGAAACCCCCGCCGCCCCCGCCACCCATCCCTTCGCATTATGAGCAGTGAGTTATGACTACTTCGCGCGACCCGCCCGCCAGATCCCTGCTAACTCTGTCCGAAGCCTATCCGCTTGGGCCAGCAACCTCCGTGTACCCCTAGCGCTCATGTGACAGTTTTGGTCCTGGTCGTAGAGCATCTTACTTGCCCGTTGACCACTCCGCAACCTCGACCCGTACGGCCCAATGTCGGAGGAGCAGCAAGCCGTGTACAGCGCCCATGGCCGCCTGCAGATGCTGGCAAGATACCCCGGCGATCCCATCAACGCATTCGAGATGCTCGACCTGGACCCCCATGCGGCGCCGTTTAGCCCGCCCGCGAACTCACACTGGGAGGGGGGCGAATGGTACCAGGCGGTCCACGACAAGATCAGGCAGCGCCACATGGAGATGCTTGAGCGCGCCAGGGCCGTGGAGAAGCGCGCCAACGGCGGGGAGGAGAGGCACGTCAGCGCCCGTGGGCTGCAATATCAAAAGGCCATCACCATGTCCGCCAGCGTCTTGATGAGAGACGGGCCGCGCCGGTATTACCTCGAGACGTTCCTGCCCATGCTGGAAAAGGCGATCCAGGGCAAGCGGCGTGAATGCGTCTGGCCCCTAGTCCAGAACTTCCATCGCAAAGAGTGTGGCGATACCGGGGCAATTATCGGCATGACGGAGCTGCGGAAACCCAGGAACATGTTCAACAGGGCCTGTGCCTAGTGCTTCTGATACACCGGGCCGGCGTCGGGTGGTGACCTCGGTTGATTGATGGCCCGGCGTGGGAACGGTGGAGCGTAGAGACCAACGAAGGCCATATCATGTATTCTATTCGCTACCGCACTTCATCGGGCATTCCAGTTGTGATCAGGGGAGAGGCACTGAACGCGAGTCGGATAGGATAGGCGGTAACGAATACATCGATTTCATTGCCGCGGTATTGACGGGTATCGAGAACCCGGTGCGCTCTCTCGCCGAGACACGACGGAGGTCGACGTTTAGGGTATAAATATGGTCGATAGCGGAAGTTGTCCGGCTGGTGTCGTTGGGTAAAAAGTAAGGTTAAGAGGTCGTACCTGCATCATTAAAACTGGGCAAGCAAGCAAGCACATGAACAGAGGTAGTTAGCAAGGGTATCGCCAAGTTCATTACAAACATCCAACCCTAACCCCAGGTAAAGCCAACCATCCCGAGACAGCTCCCCAGCGTTTGCGGAAGTCTTCGGAAGCAGTGAAGCCAGGCAAATATTTCCACAGTAAAAAGCACTCGAATCCGGCCAAGCCGATAAACCGAAGTACCTAGGCAGGTAAGAACGGGGGTCATGGCCATCGGCCACCATCCCTCTAGCAAAAGTACCTATTTCTGTACATACACTGCTATGACCGTTCCCATGCAGCCGTCTCCAACCCCTGGCGGCCGCCCAACTCGCCGCGTTCCGTCCATGATCTTCCTTGTCACCCTGGGCTTCCTTCATATCATAAGTCAATGCCGTTCGTAATATGGCAGCCGCATGCAACCTTCCTCGCGGGTAACGCAGGCAGGCAGGCTCCTCCTCACGGGCAACGAAGGCCCCTCCTCAGGGGCAACGCAGACCCGGTACCATCAGGGCGCTTCTAGAACCCGGCCACCGCGTCCGTCATCAGATCCTCGTCCTCGACCTGGTTCATAAACCCGACGCCATAGTCCCTCTGCCAGTCCTTGTCCTTCTTCTGCTGGCCGGCCAGGAACCGGACGTAATCGCGGTTGGTGCCCAGGCGCTCGTTGGTCGCCCTGACGATAGGTTCCAGCCCCTTCAGCCGCTGGGCGGTTTGCAGCATCTTCTGCCCGAACCCAGCCTCCGAGAGCTCCTCGTCGGGGACGTGAAAGCTGAGGTAGGCCGGGCCGTCGGTGGGACGCTCGACTACTCCGCTCAACATCCCCTCGTCAATCATCTGCTGCACGAGCTGCGCGACCTCGGTCTCGGTCGCGAGCGGCGCTCCCGTCTCGGCACTCTGCGTGCGCGTCCGGATTTTCTCCAGCGAGACCTTGGTGTAGACCTGCCGGAGCTTTAGGATCTGCCACCTCTGGTAATGTTGTATCACCAGTCGTATCAGGTTGAGGTTATTTTCCTCGCTAAAGAATTGCGGGCCCAGGCCCTCATATTCGGTCTTGAGCGCCCGGGCCGTGTTCTCCCCAAATGCGCTGCCGATTGATTGGTAGGGCTTGCCCAGCGCGGAGAAGGCCTTCTGCGCGCCGGGGGCCGTGATAGTCGGCAGCGTGGGCGCCTTGCCCTCCAGCAGCAGCCCGACGAGGACCCACTTGTTATGTGCCTCCACCATAATCTTGCTACACGAGTGAGTGTCCCTGGCGGGGTATGTGATGACCCGCTCCAGGGCGTCGAGCGCCTGGCTCCATGACCGTCGCTGAATGAAACAGAGGCCGCGGAAAAGATCGTATTGCAGCACGTCGCTGCTGCTCAACTGCTTCGTCAGCCCCGCCTCGACGGTCACGTATGATGCCGGCGGTAGATCCGGACTGCCGAGGGGTCGTGGTTCCTGTAAACCCTTGACACCCGGATAGAAAACGATATTCTTCTCGAGGAGGGGCAGTGCGAGCTCGATGTTGTCGGTCGTGTACGCGAGTTTGACTAGAGCAACATGGTGGTTGGTGAGCACCGAGCCGGTCGGATCAATCTTTAGGAGTGCTGTCGTGAGGAGGTTTACTGCGACGGAAGCCTAGTCTTGGTTAGCCACCGGCAAGGCCGTGGCAGTGCAGCAGTCACTTACCGGAAACATATCTCCGCTGGTGAGCCAGTCGAGAACCAACGAAAACGCTTTCCCCGCATAGCGTATCTGGCGGGCGTCGAACGAGACGAGGAAAATGGAGACCTTGGCCAGGAGCTCGGGTTGGGGTAGACCGTTGGCGATCCGGGTGGCGATGAGCAAGCTCAGGTACGAGATGGAATTAATTGCTGGATCAACATGCTGGGAACAATCAGTAATCAAAAACCGGGAAGCCCAACCCAAAAGACACTATCCACGCACATCTAGGAGCTGGGCGGCGGTATCTTTGAAGTTTGGTGTCACGGCCAACTCGCCCACGCTTTGGCTGTGTGACTTGGCAGCCGAATTGTACAAGTCATCGTCGGTAATCCCGCCCGCCGGCGGGAAGTTGAGAAGTACCGAGGCAATTTGATCCATCGGTAACTCGTCGGAGGTGGTGGGATGGGCGTACTCGGGGGGCTTGGTTAGGTGCTCTGTCGATGGATGTGAACGAGTACGGCAGAGGGAAGTCGTGATGTCGGTAGACGGGCACGGTAGGTAGCTACCACGCACTTCGCGTCGATTCTTGTGATGCGTCCCCTGTTTTAAAGTTGGCTTTAAGAAACCGGCTCTGATTTAAAATTAAGTGGTGTGTATAGGTCGCTTGAGAGAATTCAGATGGATTCATGATTTGTTATCAGGGTACCTGATGTACAGGTTGATTGAGCCCCGCGATTTGGGGCGACGGGGAGCCTTGGGGTGCGGAAAGACGAGAGCCGCCACAGGAACAACCCTGCTCGCCAAGCTTTTGTGGCAGGGCCCAAAATAGGCAAACCCCCGGGGTTGCTCTTGTAATGGATGCGGCCAATTGCGTGAGCAGTGTAGTACTTCGTCGAACCTCAACCTCGATTTTCACCAAGGTTGTTGTAGTGTATATTCGGATATCCCGTGATGTTTTAGGCAGTAAATCGCTGGAAAGATTCTCTGTGATCCATTTGAATTTAGTGGTGTAAGTTTAAATGCTGCCAAAGCTAGGTACCTCGGGAAGCTCGCTTGTTTATCATCCCCCGTACAGAAGCCCCGCTGCATACCACAGCACTGTGCACCCAGGCTGTTGAGGACACCAAGCTCTAGTTATTGAAATATAACGGCGGACTCGGGAGAAGTCGCACTAGGGAGATCAAGGCAATCGAAGATGATAATCGAGGGTACCTGATTTAAATCCATTACCAGTAACTCCAAGACACAAGGCCCAAATTTCAGTTCGATACAGTAACGAGAACCGTGAGCCGGAGCCCCTTGCGAACCTCTCCTTCCAGGGCCCGCCCCCCTCTACATTGCCAGTCCGCACCTACATGCTCATGTCCTTGATGAGTTCGGCTAGTTTGTTGGCCTCCGACGCGTAGTCCAATAGCGTGACGTTCATCACCTGAATCCGGAGCCTAAATCTACCTGTTAGCAGACATTCTTGAAGAGCAGGAAAGAGAAGAAGAAAGCCTACTTCGGTTGGTCACCGTAGGTATCCATCTTGGCGCGGCACCGGAAGACCATCTTCCTGCAATTAGCTGCCTCAAACGCCTCGGCACAGCTTCCGTCCTCCCTGTTCTTTAATTCCATCATTTCGTCGGCCGACTTGCCCATAATTATGCGGGCCGAGTCATCGAAGCAGCTGACCCAGGTGTGACCCGTGTGATCGCTGACGTCGGCGCTCATGATGTAGCGGTACTGTGCCCGGTCGTGGGTTATGTTGCACCTCTCGCACCGCCACTTGTCGTCCATCGACGGCGTCACCTTCTTGCTGCAGTTTTCGGATATGCAAGCCGGGTAAGCGAAGTTCTCCTGTCTGAGGTGCACAATGGTCCCCTTGATGGTGAAATACGCCGTGTCTTCCATCCCGATGTTCTCGGACTTGATCTGTGCGATCATCTTCATCTCATCCTTTTGACCCGCGGCAGCGCCAATGGACGACAGGTGGCTGTGCGTTGCGAAGGTGGTGTTACCCCTACCCTGTGCGTCATACCAGCCCTTCAGCTTGTGCGCCTCGGGGATGTCCGGGTCGATCGCCATCGTGCCCGATGACAGGAGCGATAGGCTGCGCCCGCCAAAGTCGCTGACCCGCATGCCCTTGAAGGCAACGACGGACTCTAGGCTGGCGTCGAACTCGGCGGCCGCCTTGCCCCAGATAGTTACTCGGACCGAGTAGCCCGTGTCGTCGACCAGGGTCAGCTCGCGCTTGTCGTAGCCCTTCTGCGTCGTCTTGGACTGGATCTCCTCCTGTTTGCCCACGTCCTTCAGGACACCGATGACGTCGATGGTCGCATCTTTCTCAACTTCCTGCAGTTCCTGGATGGTGCAGAAATTGAAGCGGACTTGAGGCACGGAGCTCTGGTCCTCGGCTTTCTCGATGACCGTATCATGCTGAAACATTATCTCGTAATCGTTGGCGACGTTGCTGAATTGCTTCTTGGCCATCTGCACTTTGCAGGGTGTCGAGATGTAGTAGACAGAGCCTTCCTGCAGCAAATCGTAGAACTGATCAACCTCGGTATTGAAGGCGGTCGCCCTGATCTCGCCACTCTCGTCCAGGAAATTCACGCTGAAGAGCTTGCCCTCGCTGGTGGGCCTCTTCCATGTTCCGATATATGACTTGGTAGTGACTCGGGCCTTGATGGTCCACTTGTTCACATACGGGGAAACGGCCTCGATGGGGTATATTGTGGCCGCGAGAGGCCCGCTGTTCCCACCGCCGCCCCCTGTGCGCGAGGCTAGCTGCCGCTGAGCCTGCGGCTGGAATTGGGGTGTTGTCTGCGCAGCCGGCTCGCTCTGGGCGCCGTAGAAACTAGCGCTGTCACTCGTAGTATTTTGGCGCTCGCCCGTTGTGACTTCCATGCTCTTAGGGTCACCAATCTTGTCCGGCGTGCCGAGCTCGGTCATGACTTCGAGGTCCAAGATGATCATAACGCTAGACAGGTTGTGTGTCAGCATCGGTACAGACTTGGGCGGAAGGGAAAACGACGCACTGTTTTCCCTTGAGATACTGGGCTTGGTATTGCTTCACGCGCACGATGGATCCGCGCTGTAACTGACCGTCGTGCATCACATGGTTCGCCTGGGTGGCCAACATGCATTGTACGTAGTTGCGGAGGTCGCTGAGGACGATGCGGTATCTCTCAGGGGCAGCAGTTCCCGGGCCCTTGCTCTCGAGAGTCGTGATATGAAGACATTGCATTACCGGAACTGGGTAATGCACCGCTGCGCGGTTGGCGTCCAAGAAAATGGCCCTGGCTTGGAGTCAGATAACATTTCCACGAGCATCCCGAAATGGGCCTGCCAACTCACTCTATCGCGCCCTGTGATATCTGTTGTTCCGCCATTTTGTGTTGATTTTTGGTTGATTGACGATGTGTGCTGAGCGAGCCGGGTGTTGACGCAAGCAGAAAATGGAAGTTTTATCGAAGTGGCGGTCGATGCAAGGCTCGGAGGGGTCGCGTTGGGCAGGCGCAGAACGCGTCGAGGGGCATCAGTTTAATGGGCCCGGGCACGCACAGTGTATATAAAGTGCCAACCTTCTTAATCACACGGCTCATCCGATCTCAATCCTGTCATCCCGACCTCCATTTGACATGTACATAATTACAAATATGCCATTACAACAGACAAGAAGACAACTACTCTGCTCCATGAGATACCAGATTATTTTTCTGCATTTCTTGTTTCACCCATCTTCTTTTAAATTATACCTTTTCTTTCACCATCGCCCCCCTCTTCAGGTCTAAGGACCTCAAGAAAATCGAGAGCACAAACACTGCTTCGTCTGTATGTATGTATGTACGTTGCGCAGCATTAAAATCAGAAACGAAACAGCCAGTTCTCCTGATGTCACCCCGCCAAGAAGCACCTGCCTTGCGGTGGTTTCTCAATACATGCAAAGCACTGTCTATCGCTTGTGCTTGTACTGGCTCCAGAATGATCGGCCGCGGTGCACCTTCAAACTTCCAAGGCCATTGGTGGAGCAATTGTCTCCCCGCTATGTCGGTGAGGGGTGGTGTTCAACAACATCTCTCTCTGCAATTTGACAGCATCTCCTGTTTTCATGCTCTCAAACCCGTCGTGAAGGTGGCTGTACTCAAAGCAAAAAGTGCATCACTTCGTTCTCGAGAAAACGTAGAACCAAACCAAATCCCCAACCCGATTTCGATTTCTCAAGACCTACACGGGCAGCCTTGACAGCCAAACAATCCCGTCCCCTTTTCTCCCCCAAAACCCAACCAACCCAACCCCCCAACCCCTCAAAATGGCACCCCCCATCATCGACTCCCACATCCACCTCTACCCCGCCTCGGAAGCCCCCTCCCTCGCCTGGTTGACGCCGACGCACCCCCTCGCGGGGCAGCACTCGGTCCACGAGTTCCGCGCCGCCACCGGCACCACCACCACCACCACGGCCACGGCCACGGACACGCCAGTAGCGGGCTTCGTAGTGGTCGAAGCGGACCGGCGCAACGACGCCGGGCGGGACTGGACGGGCCCGCTGGCGGAGGTGGCGTGGATGGCGCGGGTGGCGACGGGGGCCGGGGTGCGGGCGGGCGAGGGCCACGCGGCGGACGACGCGCCGCTGTGCCTGGGCCTGGTGCCGTGGGCGCCGCTCGCGCGCGGGCCGGACGAGCTGGGCCGGTATCTGGAGAGCGCGGAGGCCGAGGCGGGCCCGGCGGCCTGGGCGCGCGTGAAGGGGTTTCGGTATTTGTTGCAGGATAAGGAGAATGGCACCGCGTTGGGGGAGGAGTTTGTGGAGGGGTTGAAGATGCTGGGGAGGAAGGGGTTTGTGTTTGATGTTGGTGTGGATCAGCATCGGAGGGGGAGGGTGCAGTTGGAGGAGGTGGTTGAGATGATTGATCGGGCGCATGAGGGGGTGGAGGAGGAGGAGAAAGTAGTGTTTGTTTTGAGTAAGTTGTCGGTTGCTTTTGTGGTGGGTGTGCACTTATGCTGACGATTCTGGGTAGATCACCTGTGCAAGCCCGACTTGACGATTCTCAACCAGACGGACCCGTCATTCATTGCATGGTATGTACAGGCAGAACAAACTGATTTCTTGAGGAGTGGCAGTACTAATAACAACACCTAGGCGCACTGCCATGTTCACACTCAGCAAGTGCCACAAGACATACATGAAGCTGAGCGGCTGCTTTGCCGAGTTGCCGGACAAGCTGAAGGAGCGGTCTGCCGAGGACATTTTTGCGGCCATCATTCCGTGGCTGGCGGTCGTGGTCGCGGCGTTCGGCCCGAGCCGGATCATGTTTGGCAGTGACTGGCCTGTCTGCGCGGTGGGCGTGGGTGATGATGCATGGAAGAAATGGCGCAAGGTCGTTGACATGGTGTGCGATATGGCCGGCTTGAGCGAAGAGGACCAGGCGATGCTCTGGGGCGGGACGGCCAAGGTGGCTTACAAGCTCGAGGGCTAGAATTACATGAAAGCCGCTGTGTTCCCAGCCTTTCCTGGGCTGCTACTGTGCTGATTAAAAACTATCCCTTGTAATAAGTTTGGTCCTCTTAACAACGCATTCCTCATGCTGTTGGTATGTCAACAATGTGAAAAGAGAAGATCAGGGGTGGGCTAGCAAAAGCCCAGCCGCTACCCCGTTCGAGGGTCGCTGGCCACGAAACCCCCATGGGATTTAGTTCAGCTGGTTAGCACGTTGATTAGAAGGGGCGGACCCTTCCCTTGAACCTACCCCGTAACTATTAGACCTAGTGATAGGTCTTTCGCCCCAAGGCCTTGATCACCACCTCTGGCCGTTCAACCCTATAGAGGCAGTCGTGATGGTGGGCAACGCACAACTTCTACATCACGACCGACCACCTTGTGGTTACCACCTGCCGTGTCTCCATGTAGCCTTCATCATATTTCTGCATTTTCTACCCCTCAACAAACACAGGTCAGCTGGAATGTTGCGATGGCCTCAGCCTCCCAAACGCCTGAAAACAAACAGATGGGAAAATAATCCAGGATAAAACAAAATCAGCTTGTCGTCCCCAAACACGCAAAAACTATAACAACAGACCTCTGCGAGCGGTTTCGAACCGCGACGAAGTAGCACACCGGGGATCGCCGCCATGTCTTGATAACACCCAGCCAACAAACCCACGGGCAACCTACTGACCGGCCGGGCTACAATTCCGGCCTCGAAACAACTCTCTCAAGGAGCAGATAACCAGTATCTCGTCAAAACAAAACAAAGCCCGACCAGCCAGCCGGCCGACTAGCCATCCCCACACAACCAGTGCGGCGTGTCAAGTATACATAGACGAGTAGGTAACACACCAACAAAAAATTGCCTCGAACCCGCTACGCCACCTCCGGGTCCCGGCCCCGGCCCCGGAGTGGGCCAACCGCACGTGGCCCGGATCTCCTCCCACTCTTCACGGACGGACCGCAGCCTTGGCATGACGTTCGTCAGCCAGCAATCTGCCATTCATGAAGCGCGGCTGATTTACCCGGCCAGGCCAGGAACAGATTCCACCATCCAGCCATGGATGGCTCCTCCCCCCCCAGTTGTTGGTGACATCGGCGTTGGCGGAAGAATGCTGGGCCAGCCATGCCAGGCCCCGTTTGAATCGATTTCAACGGTCGCTACGAAGGACATACCTCCATGTCGATACGCGGCAGGTGAACGAATCGGCGATCCCGCGCCTTCACCCCGATTTCAGCTTCACTGGCCGCGGGTTTTTTCTGTGCGTGCGACTTTCGCTTGGGGCAGATTGCGACGCTGGGGTGTGACGGCAACTTGCTGTTCCCGGCTTGCCGCACACTGCATTTCCGCGCGCCTCCCTCTGCAGAGATACATGCGTACATACCTTACCTATTATTGGTATATTGAGACGCATGCGGCGGTGTGGTAAGGACACTCGTTTAGTTATCCAGCCGTGATTGGCAATTGGTCACGGGGGCTGCCTGCGGTGAAGGTCCCTCGTTGGCCGGTCGAAGGAAGGGAAGGAAGACCAGTGATAATCTCCCCCTTTTTTGTTTTTTTCTTTCGCGCAACTCGGTAGTTCTGGACAGGTGAAACTGGGCAAACTCCTCGTTCTCGTAACCGGGCCGAAGGAGGCAAGCAGACGAACAAAGCCGAGGGGTAATTAGGTCGGGAACTCGGTGAGTTACCAGGGATGAAGACATGACACAGCTCCATCCCGGCGTCTGTGTGTCTATCCACTTGATAAAATGGCTCAACAACGAGGAGAACCACCGCTCGCCTCACCAAGACGGATGGGCCACGCCAAATGACGAACCCGCACTGCGATGGAAAACACAGCCGAGGCGGCTCCGGGCCAAGCAAATAAGCAATCAAATTTAATCAGTCCATGGCCGGGTTGACAACGCAGCGCAACCACATGGCAGGAAAAATAGGGGCGAGGGAATGCACGACGGGAACTCGATCCGCGTCTTGGCACTGCTCCCGGCAGCACGGAAAGTCTGGGGAAAGCAGCTGCAAGCGGTCAAAAGCCAGAATGCATTCCGCAAGGGCGAAAAAAGTCGCCGACTGCATTTCGCTAGACCGGAAAACGGCGCCGGTGTCCGGCTCCTTGGCTATTACTCTAGAGTGACGACGAATTCGGTAGTTAGTTATGGAGAATAATGCATCAATGCTATTAGTTAGTTATTGCGTTGGGTTGGAGGTTGGCTGTTGGGTGCCCTGGATGAAAAGGGGGCGCATAAACAGTTCATGCAGGGCAGGGGGTTTGTTCTGCCGGGAAGCCCTGTTTGCTCCTGAAGGTTCCAGAAGACTGCTTGAAACGGCCGAGCAACGGGGGTGAGGCAGGGACTAACCGGCGGGTTGCGGAGATCAGACGAACGGCGTCCTGCATTTGTTTGGGTTGTCCACGTCATCTGCAATCGTATGGCGAAGAAAAGCCATAGGCTGACCGAAGAAGGCGGGATATCCGGGGCTCCCGGCGTTCGTGAGAGCATGCATGCCTGTTCCTCATGCCAGGCCAGTCAGTGCTGGCCTGCAATGCGAGCGGTAGCGATTTTGCACTGAAATTGGAACATGGAGTTGTGGACGGAACAGGCCGTGGCTGGCATGCTTTGCCGCCCTCAGGGAACATGGTCAGTGGACACAACGCCGTCAGCCTGAGGAGAGCCAGCAGGGCAAAAAATGGCCGGTTTGGTAAGGCCGGATTCATGCGCCGCCTCCTTGTTAAGTCGGTAGTCTCGTAGCCAGTGCCGTCCTACCATTACCAACCTCACCAATGAGCAAAATGTGCCGCGAGTTGAGGTGCTTGGTGTGACGTGAATCAAGGCGATCCGGGTTTCTGGCTGGCTGGAATATCGCAATATCCAGCCAGTGCCGGAACGGGATGAAAGTGAGGCGTGGCTGGTGGGAAGAATGTTTGCCAGTCAAGCACTGCACTGGCTGGGAAGGGATCAAAAGTGGCCCGTCTAAGCCGTCGTACCGAGGTGGCTCGGTCCTTCATTGATGAGAACGTGTTACATAAAAGACGAAACCCCGACAACAACGCCGCGCAACAGGCAGCGACGTCCAAAGTTTTTGGTGAACGTTTGTGCAACGCAGGCGCGCAGTGGCTCGAGGGTTGGCCTGTGGGGCTGGAGCTGAGTCAAGTGGAGCTGACAAACCGCACCAATCGCGTTTTACCCCACAGACCCCAGACGGGCGTGCTGTGGATCTTTGGTTTCTTGACCCGAATTTGGACAAGTCGCGGGTCTGCCCCACGGGGAGAATTTTCTTCGGGCACACCACTCCCGCATGTTGTTGATGTCGACCGTGACTGCGCTCTTCACCTGCCGGCTGCCAGTGCTTGCCCGATCTGGCACGTCTGGGCACCTCGGACATGACTCCCCTTTCTTTCTCTTACCGCCTCTTGACGGTGAGATGGAAGGAGCTTACAACAATCCAATGGTGCCCTGGTCGACCCGTCAGACCGATGCGCTTGGCCTTGGGAACAACCCGGAAAAAAAAAAAAAAAAAAAAAAAGCGAGCAGGGCATCAATCGGTTTGTTGGGCCCGGAGATGGCCCACCATTTCAAGAGCCCCGTCAGATCCGTACGAAATATTCGTCGTACCTTGGCTGTTGGCGGGATTCCTCTCCACCGGTTGGAATGATAACCTGGCCGGGCCGGGTAGACGATTCCCCTGTGTACGATTTTACGCAAGGGGGCCAACCAACTGGTCCTTGTTCTGTCATCCGATTTATCCAGCCATGTTTGCGAGCTTCTTGGTCAATATGACAGGCACAGCGGGAGAGCGGATAAGTTTTTGCACTCCCTGACTCCTAGACAGGGTTCCGGCCTGGAGTTTGTAGCCCTGTCGAGCTGTTGGTACGCTGTCCGCAATTCACGGAAGTTCCACCGCCAGAAATGGGGGCCGAGCAGTGCTTCCGTGCCTCCCCAGGTCGTTTGAGGACACCGGTCCGCCTCGCGATGCCACATCGTCGCAGGCAGTTCCTGGGGCTAATCTCACCGTCAGAAACCAGCATTTTCTGGCTTTCTGGCTTTGATGACAGGTTTGTACGAGACCGGATTCATCATTTTTCTGTTTGCTTCACATGCTGGGGCACCACCCGCCACCAGAGTGACAAGTCACTTATACCCCTTGCCGACACCAGCAATCGTGTGACAAACCCGGGCTTCTGCGTAAAAAAACAACAACCAGGGAAGAGTGAAAAAGAAATCTGAGGCCACGGTACAAGGTACTCCGCCATCCGTCTTCCCCAGAATTCCACTGGGCCGCACCCAGAATTCCCAGTCTCACCCCCCCCCCCCCTCCCCTGCCTGCTCCCTGTCAAACGGCCGGTCTGGTCTGGTCTGGGTCTGCTCTCTCCCTGGCCGGGCCTTCTTCCACATAAAGACTCAGTTGGTCTCAGAAAAGTTTCCCTTTGGTTCCCGTTTCTTTTCTTACCCGACCGCCTTCTTGACCGACCTTCCCGTGTGGCCGATCGCAGATCTATCCGTTGGGGAGCAGTAGCCGAGGACCAACACAAGCCCGTGAAACCGGAGCAGACAAGTAACCACACATAGCCGGGTATTAATACATATCAACCTCGGCCGCCCTCTTGCCCATCGCCTCGCTTCACACACAGCCTACACCCCGCTCGCCGACTTTACCGACCAAACCCTATTCATCATCGCTCACCTGCCTCTCCCAAAAGGTAGCCCGCCTCAGCTGTCCACCTTATTCTCGCCCTGCCGGTGTTGACCCAGCCCAGTCCTTCAACCACCACCACCACATCCACCACAATGTCTTCCCACGTCGCCACTCCGCTCGCCGCGCCCATCCCGATCCCGGCCCCGCGCCGGAATCTGGGCCTGATCACCACCCAGGAGCTGTTCGCCAGCCTCAACGCGACCCTGGCGTCCAAGATGGACGAGCTGGTCACCCCCATCCACCACATCCGGGAGGCCGATTACTCCGTCCCGGCCCCACCGCCGCCGAGCCCCGTCAGCTTCCGGGACCACTGGCCCGCGTCGATGCGCCGCTGAGTGGGCTGCCATCTGCCTCCTCATTCGATTGCAAACCATCCTTTTTTTTTTCCACTCTCTGATATTGCTACACTATCTGGGCGTTCACGGTGCCATCGGCGAATGGTCTCTTCACACCATGAGAACACACCACCAACTTCGGGGTTGCCTCTTCTCTGTCAACAACAAAAACAACGCACAACTTGTATCACCAACCACCCCGGCCAACCTCAACCCAGCCAACCAACCGGCCGGCCGACAGACCAACCTTGGCATTTCCATCATACACACCCTTATTATTATTATTACGTCCTTCCGCCCCTTACCGCGGCCGATCCCATGGTTAGCCCGGTTTGGCGGGGTGGAAACGACACAATCCACTTTCGTATCATTCATGGGGTTGGGGCTGCTGGTCTGGTTAGGCTTGGTTGGCTTCCCGCCCTTCAATACCGCCATCGCAACCACCGCATAATCTGAGCAGCGATTTTCTTTTGTTTTTATGGGATGGGTTTGGTGTTTTGCTTTGTTTTGGTTTTTTGTTTGTTTTTGGTTCGGGGACAGCAGGCAGATAAGGGCAAGCGGGATATGCGGGCGTACATAAAAGTCTCCTTTTTTTTTTTTTTTAGGGTTGGACTTGGTCGATCGACTGCTTGCAGCGGTATCTGATTCGGGAAGGACACGGCATTTTGGAGGCTTAGCTTTTGTTTGCTTGCTTGGTGGTTTGCTTGGGGGAGAGCTATCTAGCTACTAGGCTAGCTAATTGTGTTACTACCATCTCACCATCATCATCATCAACCCACCTGCGCTGTGACCGCCGTTACAAATTGCCTCAAACTACCAACAACAAAACCCATCCCCAATGCACTGGAGCACACCCTCAACCATCAACCAGCTCACCGCCTCCATGAGTCTCTACCCATGACACGAATGACAATGAATTGCGTGCCGCGACCACCCGGTTACGTGATATCACACAGCTAGCACATAAACTAGGTACCGCAGTGGGCGGTTCGGCGGGGAGGAAAATAACTAAGGGAAAGGGGGCGGGAATGTGGGGTGTTGCGTGAGACAAGGCTTATGATTCATGCCGGCCGGCCGGCGGTCTCCGTTTCCGCCTCCATCTCTGTCTTGGGGGGCGGCGCGTGGCTGGCTGGCGTGGTGAAAGTGTTGGAGTGGAGTGCAGTGCAGTGCGGTGGGGGATCGGGGATTGGGGGTATGGGGATATGGGGATGGGGATCGGTGATTTGGTGGTTGTGTATTGTGTATTGTGTGGGGTTGTGGGGTGAAGTTCGGTTCCGGTCTCATCGGTTTACATGCTGAATGGGCATTCGTTCGTTTGTCGTGTCTTTGGCTTTTGCGGGGTGGTTGTCGGATTAGGATTTTGTGTCGGGCTTGGTTGGCTGGTTGGCTGGTTGGCTGGTGGAAGGCCGGTTCCGGTTGGAGGCTGTATCACGGTGTAATCTCGTGTTGACTGAGAGGTGATTGGGGGTGATGTCTTAGCGACCAACTATTGGGTTCGGGCTTTGACGATATTCGGGGTATTTCAGCCACTCGTTCCATCACAGGCTTTCTGTCCACCGGAAGAGGACGATGAAGGCGGCAATAGGAAACGAGAGGGCTTGACGGCATCGGCTACCGAGACTTGTTGTTCCTCGTTTAGGACCGATATCTTCACCCGGTTGTGATCCTTCCTCTACCCGAGACTCGGCGATCACACTGTTCTCGTGGGGTTGGATTATACGCCGGGCTGCCATGATCGGAGAATACGACGGCGGTTATTACCCCGGATGGGAAACCATTGATGGATATACGGCAGCCGGGGCTGAGACACGGCCCACGATGCTACCTCCGCTGGAGCGTGTTGTCTTGACTTCCCCCCGTCTTACATGCAGAATCTTCCTGGGTAAACGTTTAACGCTCAACGGGGGTTGAGGGTTAGCTCTCCTGCCGATTTGGGTTATTCGGAATTCGGGCAGTATCTATTCTGAGCCTTGGCCGGAAGGGTGCCTCGGTGTGCCTGACTGTATCCTCTGTGTGGGGGTCACAGGGCATCTTCAAAGATTCTCCGACCGGGTTTCGCGGGTCGTGGTCATCAAGGTACAACAGTAAGGCTGGTCCGGTGGCACATGTCAGCGGTCCTTATTTTCCGGTAGGGCGAGAGGCGAGTCGCCGTCCTTATGAAAGCGAACCCGGATGGATAGGCCAAGTTGGCACCATGCGGTGTCACCACGACAAAGATGGGGGTGGATGTTTTGTCACCACATCGTCGGCCGAGGGCTGTCTGACTAGTCTGTCCCACGTCGCAGTTGGGGTGGGGGTTTCCGCGTTGGAGGTGGGGGCGTCTGGTATGTCCATACGTACATACAACAGCAGCAAGATACGCGGGGATGGACTGCACAAGAATGGGTAAGTAAGGTAGGGTAAGTAGTGTAAGTCAAATCAGCATCGCTGTATTGGTGGTATCAATGCCATGCCGCGCCGCCGCAGTATGCCCAACAAGGAAGATCATGCCTCGTACACACACACTATCCTTTAACTCCCCATCCCCACCGCTCGAGCCAAACCCCCGAAAGAAAACGCCTTTAAAGCTTGGCCTCCTCCTTGAGCGTGCCGACCTTGAGCTTGGGGCCGTACTTCTCGAGCACGCTCTTGCCGTGGTACTTCCAGAACTGCTTGGTGGCGTCCTTGCCGGCCATGCGCTTGAGGATCTTGGCGCCGCCCGGGTGGTCGTCGAGGAAGCCTGCGGGTTGCGTCGGTTAGTTAAATAGTTGACGGTTGTGTCAACGTGTTCACCGCTGTTCGTGCGTGCAGGGAAGCGGTTGGTCGTTGATTATGGGTTGTCGGTGATTTGCAGTCATTCGAAGGAAGGTAGGAAAATATATCTTGAGAAAAACATACCGGCAATATCGTAGACACCGTCGTCGACAATGATGAACATGGACTTCTCGTCCTTGTGCTGGGCGACCTCGGCCTTGGTGTATTGCTGAGACATGGTGGTGGCGGTGGCGGTATGTGAGATGGGATTTTACAAGATTGAGTTTTGATGATACTGGATGTTCACGAAGCAGATGAAGCCAAGGTCGCAAGAGTGAAAGTGAGGGTGAGTGCGATTGTTAATTGTCGAGCGCCGAGTGGACGATGAAGGAGGACGGCCGTCGGCTCGGCTCCGCAACTGCCCTGAACCTCGGCTTAACCCATACGCCAAGAGTCTGGACCAGGGGTAAGAGGGTCTCCCCACAGACGTCATCCCCAGATTATGTTCCGATGATAGATTAGGGGCAACAACAGGACGAGATGGGAGGTAACAGGCTAACTGGAAAGCGTCACTGGTATAGCCACGATCTTCTGCGTGTCCTAAAAAAATCAATACATACAACCAAAAGTATGTGCCGCGACTCTCGTCGTTTCTCGCCATTTTACCCTACGCTAGGGGTATGTATATTCCAAACCACAATCTGCTGCCGCGCAGCCCATCTAAACTCTAGATACCGTAACGCCATGCAATGCCAAAGAGGACCAGCCAAACCAGAAAAACAAAACACGCGCTCACTCGACCAAACCTAAACCAGCAACCACACCCCCAAAGCAATGCCCATCCACACGGCCCCCCTCACCACCTCGACCCTCCCGGCGGCGTTGGAACCCGGCCCGCAGCACGGCCGCTTGACAAACGTCACGTTGTTCATAGCCGCGGCCACCTCAAACACGCTACCGGGGTAGTTCCCGTAATTGTAGTAATCCACATTCAACACGTTGGGGGCGCGGCCCCAGTCGGTGCGGCAGTTGTTAGCCGCCATCCCCAGGCTGCCGGGGCCCTCGGCGGCGTTGGTGACGTTGAGCTGGCTGACGGCGGGCACGAGGATGGACTGGCCCAGCAGCGAGACCTCGGCGTTGAGGTTGTGGTTCATCATGTATAGGCGGCGGCGGGCGTCCTGGGCCTTCAGGTCGGGCGGGCGCTGCACGGTGCAGGGGAAGGCGGTGTCGACGGGGTCGAAGGGGGTCTCCCACATCTGACTGAATTGGTCCTGCAGCCAGGGGTAGGCCGTCTGGTTGGCCATGTAGTCGAGGAACATGACGACGCGCTGGCCCGACAGGATCAGCTGGCCCAGCGTCGGCCAGTCGTCGACCCGCATGGGGATCACGCTGGGCGTGTACACGAATTGCTTGATGCCCGACGCCTCGATCGCCCCGACGTACTTGTCCGGCGTCGAATAGTTGCCGTTGCCGAGCAGGATCGTCACCACGTCGTACGGGTGCCCCGCCACCCAGTCCTTGACCTGCCGCAGCCAGTCCGTGATGGGGCCCGCGTCGAGCAGGTCGCAGCTCGTGTGGCAAAAGTGCGGCTCCGTGCCGTTCACGGGCCATTGTATCTGGGCCTGCAGGAAGCGGATGCCGTCGTTGAGCTGGTCGATGACAGGGAACTCTTGGTTCGCGGCGGCGCTGCCGGCGCGCGTGAAGGGGCTGTTGTGGCAGCCAACGTGGGTGACGTTGCTGTACTTGCGAGCGCAGAGCTCGGGGTAGTTGTTGCAGGGTCGAGTATTAGTGGGCCGCGGCGGAGTGGTCTGGGTCGAGGTCGAGGTCGCGTTGCCGGAGCTGGCCGACGCGGAAGAGGCTGCCGAGCCGGTGATGTAGGTGACCGTGTTAGGGGTGACGGCTTCGGTGTAGCTTTGCGTGAGTATCCCGAGATCGGTGGGCAAGCTCGTTGTAGCAATAGTGATGCGCGATGTTGGGTCTTGGTAGGCGCCAGTTGGTACGCCCGTCGATTTCGTTGCGTCGCTTCTTGTACCGGTCAACATGGTGACTCATGGGTCGTTAGGGTCGACACTCTCGACGTTCTCGACCTTCTCGACCTTCTCGACATCGCTTTGACCGTAAACAGGGCCAATGCTGAGCGACAGCATGCACAGCACGCCGGCAATGCGTTTGAAGGGCGCCATCATGCTGGATGATGAGTTGAAATGACTGTTTTTCGAACCTTCGTCAAGGCATCGAGAAAGAAAAAAAAGGTTCCAAATTAAAAGTATGGAAGAGCGAGAGATGAGGGGCGAATCCAAGTTAACTAGCCCTAGGCCAGATTTCGAGGAGACTCTTCGTACCCGCAGGACAAGAAAACCTTAAAACAGTAAAACAGGGCGTCGACATGGGTTTGCAGTTCCCCCTGCCAGCAGCACTGCCGCAGTGGTGGGGTTCTTTTCGCGCTCTCCACCCTTGCAGCCGCCAGCGGTTGTTCGAGACCAGACGCTGCCAAACTCATCTCTTGACCAGTCATCACCAGCAGTCGTTCACAACTTGAATCCATCCAATTAATTACTTCGTACTGTGTCGCCAATTCATCAGAGACTTCTCTCTCCTCCCCAATGCAGCCACGCAACCATTGCTGATGCTGACTGCTGTACATCTTTGCATCACATTTGGCAAGCAACGAACCGTAATGTCTCTCCTTGCCGGGACTTCCGATCAACGAGATGACGTCTGCGCCAAGAGTCATCGGCTGAAGATCCGATATTGCCTTGGAGCGTGGCCACCGGCATCGCCTGTCAGCTCTTGTCAATCAACATTGAAACAGCCAGTGGCAGCTCCGTTTCCTTGGAAAGCCCGCACCTAAATCCATAATTCGCATTGAGAGCCAGAATGAGGGAGTTGATTTTCGGTCTCGATTCTCAACATGCGAAAATCCTACCACAATGGTTTCCCGGTATTCGTAACAAGAAGGGAAGCGCTGACCGCTAAATTTCAGGAGCTCTCATAGCCAGTTGATCTCCCACTGACCCTCACAGTTGACGCTCTCCAAAACAACCTCCCGCGGGTCACCGGCTGAATCCCTGTCGCGCATCGCATCTGCACAGCCCAGCGCTTGGCAGAAGCCCCTGCACCCACCACGACACGACATCATCGATGCAGAAGAGAACCCCTTGGGCCTGGAACATCTCAATCGATCACTCATTTCTTGCCGTCGCTCCCCATTTTTGGGTTTTTGACATTACTCCACCCCGGATCCTGTTTGTTTCGCGCCTGATTCAGTCAATCGTTTTGGAATTCTTAATTTTTTGACTTTATTTTTTTTTTTTGTTTCTTCCCCAGATTTCCAGGTCTTGTGGCGTCCACCTGGTGCTGGGGTGATATTGCTGCAAACGACCATCCCCGAACCATAGCTCCGGTACATACCTTGCCTAGGTCATCCTCCGCAGCAGGCCTGCTTGAGCTTGAGCTTGTTTACGCCGCTTCCTTTCCGCTGTCGACAGTAAATCCACAGCCAAGATGGGACTACCAGCCGCCCTCCGGTCTCGCATGAAGTCCAATACCGAGAAAAATGACCCCTCATCACCGTCAAGTCAGACTACCACGCCAGACCAGACTGCCGGGACCGACAGTGCCTCCTACAAGCGAGCAACACGAATGCGCCGGAACTTTGCCCTGAGCGCCTCCTTCGCCTACCTCTTATCATGGATCTTCTTAGTGCTCGTAAGCGCCCCCTCCCCCCTACCTTGCAACTGCTTGAAAGAGAAAGGTCTAACCATCAAGCAAAGGTCCTCATCGGCAACACGTACCCGCGTGCCGTGCTTTCAGGCGTCTACTTCTTCAAGCTTGACCTAGCCGACATCATCCCAACATCAGTGCCCAACGCTAGCCTGATCAACAGCATCGCCCAGTCCATCGGCCTGCACGACTTCTACCAAGTCGGCCTGTGGAACTTCTGCGAGGGCTACGTCGGCACGGGCATCACCTTCTGCTCCAAGCCCACCACCCTGTACTGGTTCAACCCGGTCGAGATTCTCATGAACGAACTGCTCTCCGGCGCCACCATCGCCCTCCCCACGCAAATCATCACCATCCTCGACATCCTGCGCCTCACCTCCCAAATCATGTTCGGCTTCTTCCTCACCGCCGCCGTGCTCGCCTTCCTGATGATCTTCCTCTCGCCGCTGGCCGTGTCCTCGCGCTGGTGGAGTCTGCCGCTGGCCATCGCCTCCTTCCTCGAGATGATGCTCATCCTGGCCGCCAGCACCGTCGGCACCGTCATCAGCATCGCCTTCAAGTACGCCGCCGAGGCCCAGCAGGAGCTCAACATCCACGCCCAGGTCGGCGTCCGCATGTTTGTCTTCATGTGGCTGGCCACGGGGTTCAGCATCTGGGCGTTTGCGGTGCATTCCGGCATGGGGTGCTGCTGCACGTCGAAGCGGGATTTGAAGATTGGGAGGAGGTGTGAGGGGAGAGGGAGAGGGGGGTTGAGGAACTAGTCTGTGTCGTACCTATTTTGGGCAGTGGGAGGAAGACATATATGCATATATTTTTGGGACTCGGGGTTTTATGTGGGTGACATCCCGGGCCGGGTTAGATATGGTCGCCGATAGATGATACATGACTGGGGATAGTAGTAAGGTGGGTTGGTCTTTTTAGAGCGGGCGGCATTGGCATAGAGGTGATTCTGGTATTTAACGTCCATAAATCTCGCATAAGCGGTCTCTTATTCCTACTCTGGCATGGTATTACTAAGTAACATACATCTAGTTATGAGCGATGCCGTAATTTACGTATGAGATTTAACTGCACAGCCGCTGACTTGGAGGTATATACGTAATACCCTATTCATCGGGGAAGTCGCTCATGTGTATCACTAGGTATCTACTTACCGGTATGGTTACGTATCTGAGCGCGGTTAATGATGCATTCCTTGACGAACCTATCCGACGGACGAGTTTCGCAGTTAACCAAATGCGATACGCTATGTAAGAGAATCAAGCAATAACAAGGCACAAACATCTTCACGTTGGGGGACTCGATCATGTGGGCAGTCATAGCAGTAGTTATTATACCGACTCAGAAGCCGTCAGGGCAACTAACTACATACACGAATTCTTTGGCCAACTCCCGGTCCCGAGAATCGCCGCTGCCCAACCTCTCTCGTCCTTCACTAAAACCACAAAACCAAGTGGCTAGCTCAGACCAAGAACCCAGGCCCAAGGCCACAACATTATCATTTCGCCCCTCACAGGCAGGCTCAACTCCGAAAACATCCCCGTAGGAGCGAACCAGAGAAGGGAAACCCTTGTCAAAAAACCTCCCCACAAACGCAGTACTGTTTGTTCTGAGTTGCCGCGAGCTGGACTTGAGTCCCCGCCAGGGGGAACAGTACTCGTGGCGAATTGGGTTGTCGGTGCAAAAAAGCAGGAAAAGAGGGAACCGCAAGAGAGTATTACATCTCAAGACAGGCAATGCAGCCATCGAAACCCCCCGCCTCCTCGTCAGCAAAACGAAGGGGGCGGGGGCCACAGACTAAAAAGCGGGAGCCGTAGAGGCTGCCGGAACCCTTTCCCATCCATCCCGGGCACGGCACGGCGAGGTGGGGAGTGACAGGGTTAACTCGAACCAGTCGAGAACCCGCCAAACTCCCCGTTTCACACGTACGGTTTGACAAAAAAATACCCGGGACGGGAAGGGGACGGGTCCGGATCAGCCCGGCTCACCGCTGCTGTGTTTCAAACAACGAAGTATGGGTTGAGTGAGTGGAACGGCCATTGGTATCGGCTCTTTCCGCGTGGAACGGCGCTGGACGGCGTCGACGTCGACTGGCGGTGGATGCCCCCCGAGCGAAGGGGGGACAAACACCGAGGACACAGACTGCGAAGGTGGGATGTGGAAAGATCCGCACCCTTCTGCTGGTCCTCTTATTAAACCAAGTCTTTTTCTTGACAAGACTGCCAAAAAAGCAAAAAACATTCATCTTCTTCTTTTGATCCTCACCCGAGGCATTGTCGCAGGTCACTTAGTCGCGGACGACGATGCCGTTGCGGCGGGAGCTGCGCTCGACGTACTCAGCCTCGTCCTCGGAGGAGCACGAGTCATCGTACGAGCAGCGGGAGCCACCGCAGTCGAGGCGGACGCGCTCGCCCTTGCGGGTGATGCCGTAGCGCTCGCAAGTGCAGCTGGAGCAATCCGAGGCCGGGGTGCTGTAGCCAGACGAGCCGGAGCTGTCAGAGCGGTACGAGAGCGAGGAGCCGACCGACGAGACCGGGGAGCCGGGGGCGCTGAAGTCGGTGATGACATCCTCGTTGTAGTACTCGTCCTCGTAGATGCCGGTGGCGGCAAAGCGGCTGCTGAGCTCCTCCTCGTCAAAGTCGTTGTCGAGGATGTGGCGGGTGGCGTTGGGCGACACGGGCTTGGGAGCCTTGATCTGGGAGATGGAGAGGGGGCGGCCCTTGGCGATGTCGCTGGTGGACGAGCGGCTCTTGGACGAGGAGGTCGACTTGCGGGACGACGACTTGGAAGAAGAAGAGGAGGAAGACTTGGCCTTGGGAACGTCAAGGATGTTCAGGGCGCGGCCGGTGGTGGGCTCGACGGTGGAGTCCTCGCTGGGGTTGTGCGAGACGTGGTACCCATCGATGATGTAGTAGTACCAGTAGCGCTGGCCGGGCTGGAGGGTAGCCTGTTGGAAGCGGAAGGTACCCTTCCAGGTGCCCTTGGAGGAGCTCTTGTCCTTGGAGAGCGGGAGCTGGCCGCTGTAGTTGTCCCAGGAGCCGAGGAGGTGGACGGTCTTGACGCCGGAAGAGACGCGGAGGGAGAATGAGAGCTGGATGGCGGACATTTTGAACTTCGTTATTAAATAAAAATCGAGTGCTGAAAAAATTGAATTGTCTTGAAAAGAATGGACTTTCTGCGCTGAAGAGCGTGTGGAGCAAGTAACCCGGTGTTGTTTGGGTTGAAGTGGATTAAGTTGGTGATAGCGAGACCAGCAAGCTATCGAATTTGATTTTTTGGATTAATTGGATTAACAGAGCACAGCTCCGTGGAAGGTGGGAAAAAAAAAAGAAGGGGGAAAAAAGAACAACACAAGGTCGATTGTTGAGTGCTTGCTGCAGAAAGAAAAAAGAAGGGAGAGGGAATGAGGCCGAGGGGAGCGGCCCTTATATGATCACGAAGCCATGTCGGGGAGGAGAGGGAGGGGGAGGACAGCGGGGGTGGGTTGCCCATCACTGGCCCGATTCAACGAATCGGCTGGGGTAGCACATAACTCGCGAACAAGGTCTCGCAGAAGGGGCCATGGAGCATGCGGGCTGCCGGCCGAGAAAGAGAGAGAAAGAGCGATGGTCCCAAGCAGGAACACCCATTCCCCTGTCCTCCTCGAGGTGGGCCGTGCAGCCATGCAGCACCACTACTGCACGATGGGCGGCTAACAAGCGAGAAAGCCAAGTGGGAGATCAGATGGAGACTCTCGGACTGGAGAGAATAGTCGAGGAGGGACCTGGAAGCATTTCTGTGGGGAGGCTGGCCTCCGCAGATGTGCCGGTGCAAGCATGGTGATCACAAATGCTATTCCGCTTTGGGACTAGTTTGGCGTTTAAATCCCTGTACGCATTGGCCAATTAGGGAAGGCAAACACCAACGTCGTCCCTTCTTCGAGCGCAGGCCATCGGCCTCATCACACGCACTGCATGCAGCTCCCGCCAATAATCGACTGTTGTGTGCCCGCCCAGCTGCTGTGTGCCATTCTTGCCCTCGCACCCAGAGGCTTTTTCAATGCGGGCGTTGACCCAGAACCTGGGATCCGAGCAACGAGATATTGGCACCTCGAAATCATCCAAGGTCACTTCTGACAGGTCAATGGCATGAATGACCTAACCCCCCGTCATTCTCTGTGCCTGGGACGAAACAGGCAAGCACGATTCCCTCCAGACCAGGTACGAAGTACGAAGTAACCCTACTCTTCTAATCCCGACTTCCAAGCGTTGTGATGGAATGGGCAAGTCGACCTGCAGCATCAGCATGCGACCCTCCCTGCCTCCATCCGCACTTCGCTGCAGGCTCGCCTCGGCCATGTGGGGATTATGGCCGCGTATTGGGTCGATGATCGATAGCGCAGCATCTCCGGTCTCTCTTCTCCGTCGGTCGCTGCGGGTAAATTGGTCAAGTGGTCAGCTTCCGTGAACGGCACCCAGTGAGCGGCTTTGAATGCCTTCCCGGCTTGGAAACCATGTCCATGAAGGATCCAATCCATAGTCTTCAAGGTTCAGTGGTGGCCTTGGGGGCGGCCGGCCTCGATGGTCTCATGGCGAAAACGCCGCAACGGTGCGCCAGGACGCCACGGAAGCGGGAAGATGAACGTGGCATCACCGAGAGACATTCTCGGCTTCGGTCGATCAAAGAGCGTCATTTGGTCATTCGGCAAGCACCATATGCGCTGCTGGCGACTTCGTTATCGGATTGGGGTAGAGTTATTCGTCGATCGTCGTCTTGCATGGCTGTCCTCGTCTTCGAAGCCCCGCTTCAGCTTGCCTCGACGATGGCGACCTTGCTGTGTGTGGGAAGAATCCATGGCTGACTACCAGCCCCGTCGCTCAATCAGGTTATCTCGATATATCACCAAGTAGAACTACTGCATGCAGGCAATTAACTTACACAGTAGCCCCGGCGGGTATGTGAGTAGACAGCATCATCACACTGGCAACTGCTTGGTCCTTGCTCCAATGCACCCGCAGGATCCTTCCCAAGCATTGATCTCTCATCTCACTGGGTAGCTCACCCCCGGGATCCAGTATCCGTGCCAAAATAGCCGCCGTGATTCCCACCACCCGCGTTTACTCCGCAGGAAAAGATGGCCGAACCAACACAGCCGCGGTCGGAGGTTATCTGCACGCTTAATGTCATTCGGACCATGGGATCGAAAGGACACGGTAAGCGGAGTTCTTTGCCGCGGCATCAACCGCGAGGGTGGCTTCTCGTTGCGAACTCTTGGCCTGACATTTCCCCTCGAGACGGGAAAGTTTGCTTGGCACTTTTTGTGGCCTTCTCCGCCGAGGTCATCTTGTCCTTTGGCACTCTATGCAAGGTCGAAGATGCTCTGTTCAACATGATGCCAAATTCCTTTGACCAATCCTCCAATTCCCAGCTCCCTCCCAAGCACTCAATGAATATGGTTCGAGGATTGATTATAAGAAGGATTGGAGTCGGACTGAGATAGACAAGGCCGTTATGGCATCGCATACGGAGTTCACCGTGGGCCGGCCAGAAGTCAGAACCGGCAATCCCTTCTTTGCGGGGCGGTAGTATATATGTTTCCAAACTATCAAGAATGATGGCCTCGTCATCGTACGGGGTTGGCTGCCTCGATACCTGGGTTGCCATCTGGGAACACTGAGAAAGGCGAGCTCTGCGTGGTGTTTATGTGAAATATATACTTTGCGGCTTGTGGGCCGAAACCCCAGCTCAGTGGCCGATTCTCGTGTGTATCCCTCCGAAGAGGGGGTCATCATCGGCATACTATGTGACGGATTTTGCTTTTTGAGCATGCCGCTAAGTCTCTGCCATCGCCGGAGAAGCTGTATTCCACAAAAACGGCCACCAATGCTAGAGCTCACCGGCTACCCCCTTTGGTAGTCGAAGTGAAGTAGCCGTTTACGAAATCCCTCTAAGGCCTCGCCGTAGGAGAGTAGGTTACCAAAGTGAACTAGCTGCCGAACCAAGCACTACTGCCTGGCCGCTGGGCTAGCCCGTCCGTAGTTCTCGCCACAAGCTGGCTGCGTGGGCCTTTCCTATATTGCGCTGGTAACGGCATTAGATGTTCAAGCATCATTTACTCAGCTCGACGCACTCATCTCCCTCGACGTCGTCCAGACAATACAGCCTTTCAGAAGTGGACTTACGTGCCCAAAACATGCTCGTTGATCACACCCTTGAGCTCATAGCCACCACCAACAGGGAGCCAGCTCAAACATCCTGTTGGCTTTGACTTGGCTAAACGAAAAGAAAAGATAGAGATAGATGGGCCCTTGAAGACTCGGATTATGTTAAACAAAATATTGCCATATTTAGTAACTACGAGATAAATTCGTAGGAACGCTCTGAGCATATGTTTGTTTTAGCAAACTGAGAGGCATGCTAGGGCAGGACGAGAGGTATGCCAAGAGATATCATCACAGCGGATGGCGTAAGTCGGATCTGAGGGTGTGAAGAATTGGAGATATATATGGAAACTGCAAAGGAGTTGCAACTAAAGCGGCCGGGTAGGTAAAGTCCAACACGAAGGTTAATAAAACTTAATCAGCTGACCACAGAAAACATGATGTTTCATGTACTTTGCTCGGGTGTACCTGGAATGTTGAGAGCAACAAGACAACCAGGAAAAGTGGAGTAAGTGTATTTGCATACTCGGACAGCAGCCGAAAAAGGCAAGTCGTCAACACCTTGACTCACATCATCGCGTGGTATCCACCCCACTCCACTGCGTTGGAGGGACTTTTCCCTCTGTTGAGGCTTCATATTCTTGAGTGCAACTTCCATTTTGCACTTTCACTGTTGCTGCCTAAGGTACAGGCACTCTTTGAGAGTGAGACCCAGACCCACCTCGAAGCTGTGGGTCTGAAGTTTGAAACTCTCAATCTCACCCAACTAAACTTTACTTATACTCAGCTGTTCCTTCTCACCGCTCCCTTCCATCTTCTCACAACTCACAACTCAAAACCCACAACTCACAACCTACATAATCACCACCTCAAAACAAACACGAATATCACCCACCGCCAACATGTCCGCCTCAACCTCCGCCGCCATGAACGCCTTCCCAGACGACCCCCTCGTGCAAGCCGTCAAGGCCCACGTTAAAGTCTACATGGAACCCTACGACGCCTCCCATTCCTGGGATCACATCGAGCGCGTCGTGTCGCTAGCCCACCACATCTACAACCACTCCGACGCCGCCTTCCAAGCCACCGCCGACCTGCGTGTCATTCACCTCGCCGCCCTGCTCCACGACGTCGGCGACCGCAAGTACGTTTACTTTTAACCCCCCCCTTCACTTCAACCCTCAAACCCCAATCCCCAAACTCACACCCCCCACAGATACCTCCCCCCGGGCGAAACCCCCCACACGCAAATCACCACGCTCCTCACCAGCCTCTCCTGCCCGCCAGAACTGGCCACGCGCCTCCAAACCATCTGCAGCTCCGTCAGCTACAGCCACGAGAAGTCGCAGCCCGCCGCGCACATGGCCGCGCTCGTGGCCGCGCACCCGGAGCTGGCCGTCGTGCAGGACGCCGACCGGCTGGACGCCATGGGCGCTGTGGGGCTGGGGAGGTTGTTTACGTATGGCGGGGCGCGCACGCGCAGGGGCATGGGCGAGTCGATGGCGCATCTGGATGAGAAATTGGTAAGGCTGGAGGGCCTGATGAAGACGGTGGTGGGGAGGGAGGTCGCGAGGGTTAGGGGGGAGAGGTTGCGGGTTTTTAGGGGGTGGTGGGTGGAGGAGGTGGGGGGGTTGCCTGAGTTGGAGTTGGAGGGGGAGGGGTTGTAAGTGTCGACGGTGGTGAGAGGTGAGGCGAGGCGGTGGCTTAGGGGAAAGGAAGGGTGGGTTAGGTCCGGAGTGGGAAGGCTGGAGTTGCGGTGTTGGGGTCACTGGTCACTGGTATACCGCACAAGCGAGACTCGGGTTGATTCGGTGTTTGTTTACACGATACCCTGGTGAAGGTCTTCAACGCCCTAGATCTACGTTCGAAGCGAATAATCCAACACATCATTAATAATACCCATCTCGCATCCATCCGTCAAGCTTGACATCAACCATGACGAGTGAGAAAAAGAACATTTCCTAACCCCGACTCTTCACAACCCTTTCCAGCTCCTACTAAACCAAACACCCCAACCCCGTACCAACTAACTAACCACCACCACCAACAACAACCAGCCTCACCCACCCTTCTACCACCTTCTCCTACCTACAACAACATCGCCGCCAAACCACCCAACACCGCCAACGTCCCCGCCACCTGGTTCGCCACCGCCCCACCCGTCGAGATAGGCGGCTTCGGCCCACCGGTACCAGTCCCCGGACCAGTCCCATTATTACCGGGGTTCACCATCGCCGTCGTCATGGTCGACGCACCCGACTGCGTAACACTGCCCGACGGCGGCACCGAGTGGATGAAGGTGATGGTCGTGGTTGGCTCGTCACCACCCGAGGCGGAGCTGCTCGGGTTGCCGGGGTTGATGAAGGTGATGGTGGTGGTCGGCTCGGCGGTGTCGGTGGCGGTGGATGGGCCGGGGTTGACGAAGGTGAGGGTGGTGGTGGGCTCGGCGGGGCCCGTGTTGGCGGTGCATTCGGACGCGGGCAGCGTGAAGGGCTCGCCGGAGGGGGGGTAGACCACGCAGTTATTTTCGCAGGCGGCGTCGCCGGCGGTGATTGAGGTTTAGTGGCAAAGCGCTCAGAGCTTGCCGACGACTGACTGGCCTTTCTACATATCAGCGTTGGGGGGGTGGGGTGTTAGGGGGGGATTTGTTCGGGGAGTGGGGAGGGGGCTTGGTGGGTTAAGGGAAGGTACTTACGTTTGGAGCAGCGGCCAGCTATGCCGATCTTGTCGGCGCCGCAGCGGATGATGATGTCGGTGCCCATGGAGTCGCCGGCGCAGAAGGCAGCGTTGGGCTTCTCGCAGATGTACTTGCCGTCTTCGTACTTGACTTGGGCGCTGACGAGGGCCGCCGAGGCCAAGATCAGGATGGAGGTGGTCTTCATGGTTGTGGTTGGGGTGGTATCAAAACGAGTGAGGTGGAAACGAGCGACTTCACACAAGACTTGTTCACGATGGCGTAACAGAACTAACAACCATAGACCAGAGCCTCGGGAAGAGATCAATTTATATTCGGGGCCTGTCTCGGCTGGCTGCTGGGACCTGCATTGTTCCTGAGTAATGTCACGGCCCAAGGTGCCACTCACTGTTAGCGTTGCAGAGGAGGTAACCCAGCAAGTAGTGGAGCGAACACGGCAGTCTGGGGATCATCTCGTGTTGGACAGACTACTACCCACGCTATTTTTGCCTCTAGTGTACACGGGCACGACAAAACAGTGGTGAGACCGTCAAGACAAGAAAACATGGCGAAGAGGCCAATGGGATGGTGGCCTTTGGCTTGCGGGTCTCACCGGTGGTAGACCTCGTTTTCTCAACTCGGACAACCGATTGTAACGTATCGAGCTCGCGGCACTTTGGTATTGCGGCGCCCCGGCGCTCAACCGCGAGACCGAGTGGCTGGAGTGCCAGTCATCCAGTCCATGGCCGTGGCTCGTATTTGGGCGGGCTCGGCGGGGTCTCCTATTATTGCCTTTTTGCCACTTCTGGATGCAGGGTGCGAGTCCCAAAGGGGAAATTCAGCCCAAAACATCTAACGGAGCCTCGGAGCTTCTTTACTAGTACCGGTCCGACAGAAAGGACAAGGAGCCGTGCCATGAGCCGAGACAGACACATCATTGTTTACAGAGTCAAGGTAAACTCCTGCTGGTTTTTCAGATATCTGGAGCCCAAACTTGGTTAGTGGAGTATTAGGTGAGAACGGAAATATACATGTACGATGGATGTCGTTACGGTCTTGAATGGAGATATTGCCAGGTACTTTAAGACAAGTCCCGCGCCGCGAACTCGCCACTCAGGCCGCTGGGATCTCTAACAACACCACCTCGACAAGAGGATCCCGCTGTACGTACAATCTCATCTCCAGTTACTCGCCGAACTATGCAACTTGCCACAGGTCCCTGGTTTTCACATCGCAAACACTTAACATCGCGTCCATCTCACCTTACCATCGATCTCAACCCCAGCTACTTCGGTGACACTAGAAGACCAATCGTTTCAGCCGACCATCCGATTGGAGAGCGTAGGGAAGCTCGACCAGGCGATTAAGAATATTTTTCTCTTATATATAGGTAAATTCGGCATCGCAACGCGGCGCGGGAACCAGACAGCGACGAGGATAGACTTGCCAGCCAGCCTTTCGCCCAGGATATCTGGGTTCATCAAGGCAAAGTAACCTAGGCGAACATCGACGATGGCCGGGCCCAGCACAGGAATGCTCTACTGATGCAAGAATCCCCATTGTGTGATTAGAGTTACTTAGAGACAGTCTCTGCAAATAGTCTGTGCGCTCTGCGCACACAACTATATTGCAGTGCAGGCTGAGGCGCCTTCTACCTTTGAAGAGATAACTCTTTCTTCTACCTTTTTTTCTACTATTTGCAATTAGATGCAGTGTCCCGTATCATCTACTAATCCACTGCTATGGCGACTAACCCAACATCTAACTAGCCCTCCTTTTTTTTCTTCTTTTTGAAAGAAGAAGAACGGAAGGATTGATTTGTATGTAACTGGGTAGTAGTAGAAAGTAAAAAAAAAGCCCACATCAGGAAAAAGTAAACAAGCGTTCAGGGGGCCACCCGGGGATTGAACCCGGGACCTCTCGCAGAAATGCTCGGGTTGTAACCCTAAGCGAGAATCATACCACTAGACCAGCGGCCCTTGAATCCCAACGCAGTGGATCTTGAGGACAACGCCAGCCAGAATCGCTTGAGAAAGGAGTTCAGTGGCCGGTAATCGGATCAGAATCGGCTCACCGGCTGCGACCGTTGGTGGTTCCAAGTCGAAAAGAGATAGCCACCCAACCTTATCCCCTTGTCTGCTGCAAGCGAG